CTCCATCTGCATTTCAGCTCATGAGGGGGGCGGGGGAGAAAAGGGGACACGATGAAAGCTATAGTGACACGTAATATGTGTTTAACCTGTGAGGTCCGGGTCGCCGAGGCGAAGCAGCCTCCCCAGCCGTTTCGTCCGCTCAAGCCAGGCTGGTCCGTGGCGCCTTGGGGCTGTGTCCCCGGCATAACCCTCCTGTTCTGCAGCCGGAGAACTGTTTATACAGCTTTACCTGTACTATTCTCGTATCCAGTAAAAATCCTCGCCCGGCCTGGGTAACCTAATCCGGAGGCTAAAACGGAGGAGGGGGTTAGTGGGGCTGGCTCCAGAAAAGGAGGTGTGTTATGAGACACAAGCAGGGGTCTCTCCTTTGCTCCTCCCCCGATTGGGAAGGTAATTCGGATTTGGTTCGAGGAACCGAGGCGGGGATGTAGGATTTAGAAAGGAGACGTGGATTCAAGTCCCAGCCTTCCCGGCTTTTTTCCCTCAAACAGGCACTGTGGATTGACGCGGCGGCCGCAGCTCCAACCCACGCTCCAAGAAGGAACAGTGGTCCGGGGGGTGACCAGTGGGGACTAACAAGACCAAGGACGTGTCTCCCTCCGTGGCCTGATTGGGGCAGATCTGACTCCCTCCCCTCGCCTTTCTTTTCAACTCCCGTGCCTAAGACAAAATGATCAAGGTACCTTCACAATCAGACCCTCCCAGTTATCCCCGGCCTGTCTATCACAGCGCGCGGGTCGGGATTGCAGCTTGCACAGAATCGAATTAAACGCATCTTGGTGGTTATTGTCTCTCGCTAATTGCTTCAACAATGGCCACTGTTAAAACGGATATACCCAATTAAAGGCCAGCGCCGTCGCCCTGGGTTCTCGCCACCGTCCTGCTTTCCTAGTCCGAGGAGTTGTAGACCTCCAGGTTGCGAACCGGATTGGTAAAGTGGCGCCGGCGCTGGCCTGGATACCTCTGGCCTCCACTTCCTTCCCAGACGAACAGCAACCACGGTCTTTTCACTTCGTTTTTATTGATTGATCGCATCCAAGGAAGATTGGTAGAGCTGGACTGGGAAGGGATGTTTTCCCTAGTCTTCGCCTCTCCGGGGTCCGAGGCCGTGCATTCAGTTTCTGGCTTTGGTGCTGCTCTTAGCTCTTCCCCGACCTCCCAGCCCCGCAGGTTCCGGGCTTCACTTCAGTCAGTAACCGCGCCCTCAGGTCCGCCCAGGCCGGCGCCGTATCTCTTTGGGGGGGGAGGGACAAAGCAGTACAGCCCCGCTCTGCTTCGTTCTTCAGCCTGCAAATATTTGCTGCCTCTAGGAGAATCCTACTATTCGGCTCGCGCTCCGCTTGCAAACTCCTTATGTAAACACGCTCAAATGACTGCCCTGGGCATTCCGAGGCACGCTCTCTACCCCTGCCCCGGATTAGTAACTAACTATAATACTTCGACCCTCAAGCTTCGGCTTTGCTGGTCACTCACTCTCTGGAGGGCGATGCTCAAACCCCAAGGTAGCATCTTTCCGCATCTCGGCCCCGCGGAGCTCGCCTGGCCTCTCTCGGAGTCAGGCTCGGGTGGGTGACGGAAGTTTTGTGGATTTCTACCTTCTGCATCTGTGACCCAGTCACCTTTAGCCTCTTTACAATCAGGGCTTCCAAATTTTGAAGGGGACAGACAGTTCCTACTTCCAGAGGGAATGGGGTCTCAACGCACCAGTGAAGGCAAGTGGGAGGGACCTGAAGATGGGCAAGTGTGTGTGTGTGTGTGTGTGTGTGTGTGTGTGTGTGTGGTGGAGGTATCCCAGTTTAATCCAAGCATGGAGAAAGTCAGATCCATTTCTAACCCTTTCCCCAAGAGGGCACACATACCCAGCTCAACTTGACGCCTACAGCAGCAGCCCCAAGGCCTGGGATTTTCAGACAGGCCAAATTGGTTCCGGTCACCCAACACACAACCCCAGGTCCCGGCTTCTTGGAGGGCTCTAGCAGAGCCTTCCCCTGCTCCGTTCCAGGATGCTGGGTACCCAGGCACCTAGATCATTGGTCATCCCCTTACCCTATTGAGGGAGGCCTCAGGAACTACAGGAGCCAAAGACTCTAGGCAGCAGCGACAACAACAGGCTCCTTGAAGGCTTTCTCTTGCCTTTCCCCCAGTCTCGCCAGATGCTCCTGGGAAAGGGGGGGGATGAGCAACAACGAGCCCAGGCCCGGGGTGCCTGGGTGGTATCCTGGGTCTTCAGGGGGTCGCTGAGGCGTCCCCTAACGAGGCCCGGATCAGCTTTGTAGGCTCCGGCAACTGAAGGATTCGGACCACCCTTTCCCTCCTTCCCTCGGGCCTCAAGACCCCTCCCCTCCCCCGCCACCCGTCAGGGGAGGAGGAAGCCCGGCTTGCATTTGCGAACAAGGCGGGTCAGACCGGCGCCTGGCCTGGCCCAGACCCCCGGAGTCCGGCTCTCCGCCTCAGGCCACGCGTGCTTCAGCCTCTCAGGCCACGGTCCCTTCCCCCTTCTTCCCGGTGGGTCCGGGAGCCGACCTCGGCCCTCCCTCCCCGGTATCCTTCTCTCTCTTTTTCCCTCCCCCTACCCTGCTCTGTGTTTCTGACTCTGGGGTTGGGCCCGTGACGTCAAACCCAGTGTGGCGTCGGCGAGACTGGCCGGCGCGGGCCATCAAAAGAGCAACGTCCTCTTTCCCAATTACCCACTGTCAGTCCGGGAACAGGGGCGGACCGGCTGGGAATTACATGTTAAATACCCCCTACAGGCTGGCTCCATTACCCCAGGCCTCCAGCCTTAGGCCCCCTACCCCTTTCTACCAGCCCTAAACTACCTCAGATTAGGAGGGGCCTTCTAGATGTTTTATTTTTCCAAGGAAGGGATTGTCCTCTGCATCCCAGTGTAGCTCCTCTAGTGACTGAATTAAAACGAATAATCCTCTCCATTCCCGCTACCAGACTTGCTAGAGAGGAGCCCTCACTAGGGAAGCCTTCCTTTTCAGGAACATTTTCTTTTTCAGGCTTTTAAAGTAAGTTCTAAGCTGCATAAATTAACACGTTCACGTCTTGGCGTCAGCAGCTTTGTTTCTTGTCTCGAGAAGGATTTCTTTTGCACTTTTTTTTTTTTTTGAATTGTAGATCTCGGTGCACAGGACCAAAGAGTTAAAATTAACTTCTTTTTTTTCTCGAAGTTGTGAACTAGGGTCAAGCTGGCTGGTGTCCTACACAACTCACCAGAGACACAGGAGCACTATTTTTTTTTTTTTTAATTTCTTAACTCCCATCCTTAATCTTAATCCCGGGCCTTTTAGCAAATATGTGTGTGCGGCCCTCTCTGCTTGTTTATGGAATGGTTTCCGGCGAATGTTAGACAGCAACTAAATAATTAAAAGGTTTTGAGAGCGCCGTGAGCTGGATGCTGGCAGCTTGATTGGCCCAGGAGAGATGAGTTGGTCAAAGAGCGAAAGTAAAAATCGATATTCTAAGACTGGGTCGCCTCATAAACGCGAGACCAAGGGGTGCAGAATAAACTCAGGAGGGAAATTTATTTTTTAAAAAATGGGTATCTTCATGTTTTGTATTTAGAAATTCAACCTTGATTTAGAACAAAGATCAGATGTAAAAGATGAGGAGTCAAGACAAGCTCCAAACCCAAGCCGGCAGGCACATTTCCAAATAAATTTTGCTTGTCTTTTTCATGGGTTGTGGTGCAAAAAGAACGCACTCCCCCTATACCCGCTTCAAGGTAGACATTGATGCTTTTTCTCCACAGTAGGACCGGAGTCATTTAGAACTTTTTAGGAAGGGCTTGTCTGGTATGGAAGTTTTGTATTGTTGGGAAATTTTAAGGGGTAAAGTAGTGAAGAGGAAATGACGCCTTCAATTCCAGTAACCCTCCAAGAGAAGCTCTTTGCTCTGGAAGGTGGAATGCAATCACCTTTTTGTACACTGCCCTGAGGTGCACCCGAAGTCATTTCCCGCCGGACCTTGCTGGTCCCGGCTGTGTTTTTCGGACCCAGGCTGCAGAAATCTCAACGCCACTAGGGGATGCAGTGACTCAAAAGACGGAACAGGGCCGCAGAGGTTGAAGCCCGTGGGGCGGGGCGACTGCGGCCCGGTCATAGTCTCGCCCAATGATTGGCCCTTACAATGGTCCCGCCCTCGTCCAGCCCCGCCCCCTTCACGGGGCGTTTTGCTGTAGCTCTCCTAGAGTCAGCCCGCTGCCCACCCAGCAGACCCGGGCCCTGAGACCTATGGAGTCCAGGGAGGTTGCTGGTGGGTCCATCTCGGAGGTCAGGATTAGGGTCTGTGGAGAGTCCGTCTTTCTCGGATGAAAGGTAGAAAAAGTAGGGTCCCGATCTGGGCGAAGGGAAAAGTTAGGCCACCCGAGTAAAGATCAACTCAGTTCTACCCTGTACTTCGGGAACCAGCGAGCCTAGGTCTCGCCCACCCGGCTTTCCTTGTTTCACGTTGTCACTTAAGTCAAAAATCACACATCGATTATATCATTAGATGTTCAAATGACAGCTGCAACAGCTGGCGCTGTTGACACTGGTGAGGTTTGTGAAAGCAAGCGGAGACCATAACAAAAATAATGCGGACGTCCGAATCAAAGCCCAGGTCCTTTGCGCGATTCATCAGCCTCCCGGGGTACTGGTTCGGGAAGCAAATCTTCAGTTACTTTGCCGTGAAACTTTTCTGATCAGTTTTACGTGCACATAGCCCCAAGTTGATATAAACTGAAAAATACTGTGGCTTGAATCCTAGTTTCAAAGTGTGCTCATTTTAAAGAAATGTGGAAAAGAAAAGTCTGCTTATGGAAATTAGCTTTATGAATGGGGCGGCGGGGTTTCACTGGTACGGAATAATCTACTGAGGCGGAATGAATCTGCTCTGCTACATTTAAAAGGCAAGAGAGCCA